CAGTGGGAACAAGAACTTACACGGAGAGGGATGGCCTAATGTGCATATTTAAAAAGCTCCACAAGTCATAAATATTACGAAAAGAGAAAATATGCACACATCCAGCTGTGTTTTATACCCCCACCCTGGCATGGCTGCGAATCCAATTTTAAGGTCTATCAGGGAGCCCCTCTGCCAAAAGGGATCTGTTCAGTCAGTGCTGGGCTTAGGAGTTTATTTTCAGTTCACCAACTAAAAAGGAAATCACAAACAGAAATCCTGAGAAATGAACTAAACCTAATGACAGCTACAAATCAATTATCAACTCTGAGTCCTTTGACAAAAAAGCGTTACTGGATATTTACAGGTCCAGGAAGGATGTGCAAAATACTCCATCGGGTCCTTCCACTTCCAGTAACTGTGTGCATCACATCCTTCCTCCACAACCACTTCTTGCCTCCCAAGCACCAACCACCAAACACCACAGAGCTTCCCTTCTCTCCTACCTGTCTTTAAAAATGCTAAAGGAGCCAAGATGAGAGATTAAAGATACAACTCCCTTCACCATAGCCCCAAAGAAAATGAAATACTTAGGAATACACCTAATAAAAGAGGTGAAGGACTTCTATAAAAAAAAATATGAAATCCTAAGAGAGGAAATAGCAGAGGACTTTAACAAAAGAAAGAACATAACCATGTTCATGGATAGAAAGAATCAATATTGTTAAAATGTCTGTACTTCCCAGAGCAATCTACCGATTCAACGACATCACTATTAAAATACCAACATCCTATTTTCAAGACTTGGAAAAAATGATTCTGCGTTTTGTATGGAACCAGAAAAAAACCCATATAGCTAAGGCAGTTCTCAGTAATAAAAACAAAGCCAGGGGCATCATCATACCAGTATTTTAGGCTGTACAACAAGGCCATAGTGGTCAAGACAGCATGGTACTAGCACAAAAACAGAGACATAGACATTTGGAATCGAATAGAAAACCAGGAAATGAAACCAACAACTTACAACCACCTAATCGTCCATAAACCAAACAAGAACATCCACTGGGGTAAAGACTCCCTATTCAATAAATGGTTTAGGGAGTACTGGAAATCCATGTATAAAGACTGAAACTGGACCCACACCTTTCTCCACTCACAAAAATTGATTCAAAAGGGATAAAGGACTTAAATTTAAGACATGAAACAATAAAAATCCTTGAAGTATAGGAAAAACACTGGAAGATACTGGCCTGGGGAAAGACTTTATGAAGAAGACTGCCATGGCAATAGCAACAACACCAATAATAAACAAATGGGATTTAATTAAACTGAAAAGCTTCTGTACAGCTAAGGAGACAACAACCAAAGCAAATAGACAACCTACACAATGGGAAAGGATATTTGCAGATTTTGAATCAGACAAAAGCTTAATAACTAGGATCTATACAGAACTTAAATTAATCCACAAGAAAAAATCCAACAATCCCGTACATCAATGGGGAAGAGAGATGAACAGAACCTTCTCTATAGAAGACCGACAAAAGGCTAGCAAACATGTGAAAAAATGCTCACCATCTCTAATTATTAGAGAAGTGCAAATTAAAACCACCCTGAGATACCATCTAACCCCAGTGAGAATGGCCCATATCACAAAATCTCAAAACTGCGCATGCTGGCGTGGATGTGGAGAGAAGGGAACACTTTTACACTGCTGGTGGGACTGCAAACTAATACAACCTTTTTGGAAGGAAGTATGGAGAAACCTCATGGAACTCAAGCTAGACCTCCCATTTGATCCTGCAAGCCCATTACTGGGCATCTACACAGAAGGAAAAAAATTGTTTTATCATAATGACACTTGTACTAGACTATTTATTGCAGCTCAATTTATAATTGCTAATATGTAGTAACAGCCTAAATGCCCACCAACCCAGGAATGGATTAGCAAGCTGTGGTATATATATACCATGGAATACTATTCAGCCATTTTAAAAAATGGAGATTTTTGCAGCATTTGTATTAACCTGGATGGAGGTTACTCTTAGTGAAGCATCACAGGAATGGAGAAGTACGAATCCTATGTATTCAACTTTCATATAAGGACAATTAATGACA